TCGGCGCTACGCAACCAAGACATGCCTAGAATCGTGTCGAACTTGGTGTCGAGGATGTCAAAAGACACCGGCTCGCACGCAAGTGGCGCAAAGTATACCGGAACGTCGTCGACGCATCGGTCAACCGACTTTTGCGTGCGGCCGTCCACGAGTGTAACTTGCGTGGGTTGCGTCTTCCTTCGAACGCGCGGGCCAAGGCCTGCGCGGGCCATAAAGGCTTGGCTCATAAAGTTGCGAGACGCTCCGCAATCAATCAAGGCACTACAGGTTGCCTTTCGGATTTGAATGCGGATATAGAGCAAAGGAGCGTCGGTCTAGGCGTACCTTTGGGTGGCGTACTCGCGGTCAATCTTCGCAAGATAGGAGCGGAGATCGACAACCGCTACCCCGTCGTCCGTCAACGGAGCTGGTACTGTAGTGTGCAAATAGGAGCGTAGATTTGCCATCAAGGCGTTGCAATGCGCCCTTGGCAAGGTTCCGGTCGAGGGTAGAGGCATCCAAGCGAAGTCCTCTTTCATGAGCGGGTCAAGCTCCTCAAGTCTTGACCACGCCGTTGAGTCCTCGGAAATCAGTGGCGAACTGACTGGATCACTTGCCGACGGTGTACAGGCTGCACATACGCAATCTAAGTGCACGTGGCTCGACTGGTCTAGTGGTGGTACCAGCTGGGCGGCATAATCCTCGTAAGTAGCACGAGAATCAGCGACTAACACATGGTCCCCAGTAGTGACATCGATTGCTAGCAAGGCAACCGGGTCCGGCGGAGTGAGGAGAGACTTCGCCCCTCTCCTTGCGTAACTCAGTTTTCCGAGTTAGCTGGACGGGGTACGCGTGCCTTGCCCTTTTCGGGGCATTGTGTGGTCAAGTGAGTTACTCCATTGCACCAAAGGCAATATCCGTACCGTTGACGAAGGTCATAGATTTCCTTGGTTATCTTGTATGTCGTCCATGGCTGCTGCCCAGTTCCCGTCGATGCCGTCTCTTGTGTCGCCTTGTTCTTCCGAACTCTCTTGGGACGCTTCGGCGGGAGCGCTGCTACAATTCCTCCATCACTCGAGGATGCTGCTGCAGCGTGGAGATAGATTGTTTCGTCAGAAATCAAGACATTGTTATGTGTCGGTCGTTGATAGCCCATCTTAGCCACATAATGCGGTTGGGACTGCCGTTCGTTTGCGGCCATGTCATCCGTTTGGATGACCAAGTTCGCACGATCCAGGATGGCCTGGAATGAGACGTAATCGTACTCGTTGCCGAGTGCGGTTTGCAGTCCTGCGCACGATCGCGAGAAGAACTCGGATCGTTGGTTAGTAAAACTCAAATCGAAGTCTGGCGTGGTCACTATCTTTTGCCACTTGGTTGTCCAGTCTCAAGTTGGCGTACTCCCTTGAGAGCAGGTGTACACCTCGTTCATGGCCGCCTTCACGACGTTGCGGACCATGAACCGAGTGAACCATAGTTTCTCGAACTCCTTCCACATGATGTGCGTGTGGAGTTCGGTGATGGTGCATTTCTTGGTAGCCTCCAGATGGTTCATCCATGCCTACGCTCCTCCAATCAGTTGTAAGTAGAGCGCCTTCATCATGTCGTCAGCCGGGACAGTGCGGCATGATGCTTCCGTGAGGAAACTTTGCCACCATGTCAAGGCGTTCGACTTGTTGTAGTCGTCAAACTTGCTGATGTCGAAGTGCGGCATCTTGTAATTCTTTGCAGCGGCGTCCGGTCTTGTCTGCAGTTTGGTGATGCTCGTCTTGATGTGCTGCTGATCGTGGCCGGACTAGTGAAATCACCTAGTTCGCCAATGATGGTGACGACGTGATCGATGCGCTCATTGAGCTGCTTCATTGCGTCTGTTGTGCAGCCTGGAGCTGCTGAGGCCTTAGCCTCGATGCTGTTGATGCGTGTGAGAGTGGAGTTCAACAGCTGTTGCTGTTGCTGCTGCTGTATTGCCGCGTCGCGGACGGCAGCTGTTAAAGCGGCCAGGTCTTGCTGGTGCTTTTGTCTTTGTTGTCGTTCCGTGCGCAGGAGTGCCTGCAGCAGTTTGTTGTTCCACAGTACTCCCCTCATCACGCTCAACATCACGGTAGCCAGGTTACTTCTCTCTGCCTCCGCCTGTGTCGGATCCGCCTGCGCGTCCGTAGGCACAAAGAACATGCCTTGGAGTAGCGTTATCCACTGATTCTCATTTTGAATCAGGGACTCCGTGCTGGCGGCATTCCGTTTGTCTCGTGCCGCTTCGTCAGCCTCAGCAATCTGCTGAGCTTGGGCTGCCGCCTCATTGGCCAGCCGCTGACGTTCTGCCTCTGCTGCCTCCTGCTGAGCCTTGGCGGTAGCTACGGCATCTGTGAATACCTGTAGCCGCCCCAGGTAGTCAGCCAATGGTTCAAGGGCCCCTTGGACCGGACATGCAGGAAGAACTCCGGTGGTAACCGGTACCGTCAGTGCTGTACTGGATGCCGCTGGAGTCGTCCGCCTGCTGAGTCGCTGTTGCTGATACTTGGTTCGTGGAGGTACCACAGAACGGGCACGAACTGCAAGCCTGGCACTGCGTCGTGGCAGTGCCCCGGTGTCCTGTTCCATTGACATCAGTTCTAGCTGATGTGGTACTTGAGAAATCCCGGTGGTCACAGATTACGGGGAAGGTAGGGAGAGTGGGAACAGGGGTAGAACAATCAAGCACTGCGCATACAGTCCCTGTCCCACTGATGGACTTCAGACACCTAATCAAACAGAAAAATATAAATTTTCCCGTAAACAACTCAAAAATTCGTAATAAGAAAATAATAACGAATTATTTAATCAATAAGTTGAATTAATGATTAATAACGAAATAATAATTCTTAATGATAATCAATAAAACAATATTTGCAATAATGATAATGAACGAATTTGAATTGTATCAAGATTAGGTATCCCTTGAGATCATGGCTACGATCCGGACGTCCGGACCGCCGTCCAGACGGTCCGGATTCAGTCCGGACTCCAGACGTCCGGTCTGGAAGGTCCGGATCTGCCAAATTTCGAGGAAAAAAAAAAAAGAAAAAACACGGTCCAGGACCCTTCCCCATTGAGGAGCCAAGCCACCAAAATTGTTTTGGGGGTTTTTCAGGCCCGTTTATGCTTTTTTGAGGGGTCCGGACATGCTCTCTCGATATAATAAATATTAATAATTTATTAGACAACCCCAATCCTTTAATTGTTAATAATTCATTACCTTTTATTAGTTTTTGAAGGTTTTGCGAGGCTACGCCCGCTTAGCCCCTACGGGGCCCTATTTGCAGCAAGGTCGGCTGCCCTAAGTGAAGGCAGGCACGACAGGCCCTTCAGGCCTCGTTTTCAGGGTACCCCGCATTGGGGAAAATTCAGGCAGTTGTGCAGCGCCAGTTGGTTGAATGAACCCAGGCCCTGGGCCGCCCGTGTGAATGTACGAAGAACAGGCCCTGGGCTGCCTGTTATCCCTAGAGTAACTTTTATCCGTTGAGCGACGGCCCTTCCACTCGGTACCGTCGGATCACTAAGGCCGACTTTCGTCCCTGCTCGACGAGTCGGTCTTGCAGTCAAGCTCCCTTTTGCCTTTACACTCAATGGCTGATTTCCGTCCAGCCTGAGGGAACCTTTGCACGCCTCCGTTACCCTTTGGGAGGCCTACGCCCCATAGAAACTGTCTATTCAGGTACCGGGCCGAACACAGGCCGAAAGCAGTTGGGCGCATGCAACCACTTCAGGCCCAAGGCCTGCTTTCCTCGTGACTGGGCCTCAGGCTACCGGGGCCTACTGGAAGCTTCCTGGACTGGACGCAGGCAGGCCACTTCGATATAGGGAAGGGCCTGCCTCTCATTCGGCATTCGAGTGCTGGCTGCATGCTGCGCAAGCGCTGATGCGCTATCTGCTGGCTGGCTGGCACTCACGCTCTCACGGGCGAGTAGGGAGGGAGCACGCAGCCATAGCCAAGCTGCGTTGCTGTATGCTGGGTGAAGCGCAGGGTGGTCCTTGGGTGCTAGTGGCATCTGTGCGGTGTGGATCGGGGTTGTGAGTGTAGCGCAAGACATACCTGGTGCTGAAGCGGGCGACATTGGTCGCCATATGCTTGTACTTGGGGAACGTTGTTGATGTCATCATTCTGCTTCGTAGTATAGGCTAGATAGGATCTGCCACATGTAGTCTGGGCGTCGAGCGCCAATAGGATATCAACTCTGGTTCTTCGTTGATGATGATGGGACTACTTCAGCATTATCAATTTTGAACTCTTGGTGTGTTCTTATTTGGTGTATCTCGTGATGCGATTCTGCTGTGGTTCGAAGGCTATCTGGACTCATATGTATGATGCTGTATGATTGTTGGAGTTCGCTAATGCTCATCTTCCTTGCAATTTGGTATCGGAGCTGTGGTACGATTGCGCTCATCTGGCGCTTGTCTTCTACCTTATGCGGTACATACATGCGGTCTGCTGGGAGAGTTTGGCCGTAAGTGGTGTGTAGTGAGGAGGGTGGAGACGAGTGTGAAGGTGACCCAGGTGGTGAGGGGCATCGCTTGGAAGGCTAAGGTGTAAATATTGGGTGTTCGCAGTGTGATGAGAACTATCTGTTGGGTGATTGAGGCTG